TTACATTTTACATTTTATTTAAGGCATAAACTACTTGAAGCCTCTGGAAGTAGGGATAATTCCAGATAACGGTTTGTACTTTAAAAATAATTATATAAGAAAAATTAGGTTATCACCGGGATAGCAACCAATCGGCAATTGCTCTCAAGTATATGCAATGGCTGGAACATGAGACAGGATCTCAAGTACAACATCAAAATAGTGCTATGGGAGAATTTAGGCTACGTCTTTCAAATGGGGAACTTCTAAGGTTAGATGGATATGTACGCCGCTCACCCGACGACGAGGATATTGCTATAGAATTTTTAGGATGTGCATGGCATGGACATAAATGGTTTGTATTTCTTTTAAATAAATTTGGCAAAATAGTTTAAGCCTTTATAAACCCAATGATATTTGTTTAAATGGAAAAACGGCTCTTTATAATCGTGATAAAATGAAAGAAAGAAGAAGACTTATTCAAGAAGCAGGAATGCGCCCGCTTATGGTTTGGGAATGTACTATTAGGAAACAGCTGGAAGAAAAGGAAGATATGGCCTTTTTCTTCAATGAATTGCCTGATATTGGTCCACTTTTTCCAAGAGACGCATTTCATGTAAATATTAATTTAAGACTATTAATTCAATTATATAGGGCGGAAGAACGGGTCCCCAGAGTTTAAAATGTGATCTGGAAGAATCTGGACAAGCGAATGAATATGAAATTACCTGTTACGATGTTGTTAGCCTATATCCAGCAGTGAATTTTTATGGATATTATCCAATCGGTAAATAATTTTTATTAACAAAAAATAAGTAATTAGGCCACCCTGAGGTGATTCAACTCAATAAGGTTGTTGACTGGAGACGTCCTGATCAATTGTTTCCGTATCGTGGAATTTTTAAATTATTTATTATTCCTCCTGATGATCTTTACCTTCCAGTTATTCCAGAAAGAATTAACGGCAAATTGGTTAGTTTTAAAATCCTTTTTTAATATAAAAATTAGGTTTTCCATCTATGCCATCAATGTGCCATTGAAGCTCCAACTGGTTTTTCTTGGAGAATGAAGTATGAATATACGCAAAAATTGGGACGCAATCTTTGTACACACGATGAAAAGAAGAGAGGTTATGTTGCAACAGTCTGTACTGTAGAATTAGAACTTGCACTGAAGAAGGGATATCGAGCAACATGGATCTACAGTGTATATCATTGGGAACAGTGGACAGACAAACTTCTGCGTCCTTATGTTCAAGATATGATGAAACTGAAGATTGAAGCAAGCGGCTGGCCAAGCGCCGTTCTTGACCCGACAAATATTAGCAACGAGGAAAAGCTTAAACAGGAATTCTTAATGAGAAATCAGCAAAAATATGGGATAAAATTGGACAAAGAGAAAATTGCCCGAAATGAAGGAATGCGTTACATGGCTAAAAGCTGCAACAATTCCTTGTTTGTTTTTACTCAATTCATAAATAACAAAAATTTTAGGTGGGGAAGATGGGCTCTCAGATGCAATCTATCGAAGGTAGAAAAATTAAAAAAATAATTTATAAAGTAATTTAAAGGATCTCATCACTCGTTCACCCGTCGAATTACATGAAGTACTTAATGATCCTAAGCTAGAAGTCGGGGCTGTGGAGATGCTTGCTACCGATCTATTCTCCGTCCCTTATCAATCAAAAAGGGAATTTGTTCGGCCGCACGACAAGTATAACATTGTGATTGCTCTTATAACGACAGCAACAGCTCGAGTTTTCCTATACGACTATATGGACCAAATATTCAACGACCCAGACTGTAAACTACTTTATACTGATACGGACAGCTGCTACATTGTTCATCCAAAGGGAAAGTCTCCTCCGTTCCAAGTAGGTGACATGCTTGGAATGATGAGTCGAGAGTATGAGGATAATCACATTGTATCAATTTACATTGGAGGATGTAAACAGGTCAGTGTTAATTTTTAATGCCTTAATATTTTTATTATAGTACGCGATGAAGATGCGCACAAAGAGCGGGGAGATAAAATATGTTGTTAAATGTCGCGGATGTTGGGATAGCGCGGATTCTCCTCTTGACTATGATCAATTAAAGGTAAAATATAAATATGACACTAACAAATATTTTTTCAAGAAAATGGTCAACGCCTATGGGAAGGATCAGGATCCAATTGTACTTGAAAGAACACATTTCCGTCCCAACTGGCGCAAAGGGGAAGTCTCAACACGCTCGCAGAAACGGTATAATTAAAATTTCTGCTCTGAAATAAATATATATTTAGTCGCTACGCACCTATTTACGACAAAGGAATTATTGATGATAAGCTTGATTGTTACCCTTATGGATATAGAGGAACACCCATTTCTAATCCTATTGAATAAATTTTTAATTTTTAATTTTTATTAATTTAACGTTTGATATCGTCTATATTTTTACGCTCTATTAATATTTTTAACAAATTTTAGAACTTAAAGCAATGATCAGTGATCCGGATATGGGTATACTTATTTTTTCTATTTAGCTTAATTTTCAATTTTAGTAAATCTTTCTGGACAGTTTACAAAATTGAATGTAAATCAAGAACCACTGTGTTATAATTCACATCCTCCAACAGAGATAATTGGAAAAGAAGGACAAAAAATATTTATTTTTCAGTCGTCCCGTACATGTGGCTTCAGTAACAGATTCCCATCACGATTCTCGGTGCTTGGAATAAATTTTACAACAATGGAGAAATACTTCACATGGCAAAAAGCTCGTTATTTCGCAGATTTTGAAATTGCGGAACATATTCTTCAACTACAAAATCCTGATCAAATAACCCGCATTGGTCATCGTATTAGAGGATTTAAAAGTGATGAATGGAATAAAGTGCGGGATAAGGTATTTTGAATAAAAATGCCAAAATAATAGAATTCCTAGATCATGTACATGGGTCTTTGGGCAAAATTCACTCAAAATGTGCAACTCTTTAAGCAACTTCGTGAAACTGGCAATGCCTTAATAGCTGAAGCGACTGAAGTTAATAAATATTGGACATGTGGTATTTGGTCTTCGGATCTTCATCGCTTAAGTGATCCAAGTTCATGGGATGGCGAAAACAAATTAGGAGATTTGTTGATGGAACTTCGAAAAGAAATAAACGAATGTATATTTTAATTTTTCATAAAAATTGAAATTGTATTGCTAATTTTCGGATAAACTTTTAAAATACATTCTTCGTTTCTTGCTCCTGTTATTATACATTTTCCCGAATTGAAGAGCAAAACAACAATTCTAGAATCTCTTATCCTTAGGCACATTCCAGGAAATATTTCTTGATTAAATGAAATGTGTTTTTCAAACAAGTCAGAAGGCACAATCCTCATAGTGTCATAGAGTGCTTAAGATAGTTTTAATTGAAAAATTTTAAGTATTACCTGGGAGGTTCAGTGTTTTTGGAAACTTAAATGAAGCAACAACGTTTTGGATTTTAAATTTATCCATTGCGATTGTTGTCTCATTTAGCGCACTAGCTATTTGTTGAACAAATATTATTGTAGCCTCTTTAGCCAGGGAAGAGGATTTCGTTCCGACGCAAACAAGTCTTCCATTTGAAAATAATAAAGCTGTAGCACGAATAGGCTCAAAATTTTTAATAATGAGAGCTGAAAACTTCTTTGGGTTGTAATTGGAGTTTTTAATGTTTTTAGAAATAACTTCAAGATCTAGAATCTCTTTTAGTAGCGTAACTGTTGAAACTACGTTCTGAATTTGTGGTTTATCCATAGCAAAAAGTCCTTAATAAGTGTCTTAGTAGTACAGTCTAAGCAGAACCCACTAAACCACGTTTTAAGGACATAAAAAGTTCTTAATATATGACTAAATGGTATTATCCTATATTTTCCAAAGCTAATTCCGTCACATCCATAACTAGCTACCATTACATGTATTTTAGTTTTGGAGGTAACGAGATTAGCATTAGAGAACATAGCATAATACCACTTAACCATACATCAAGAACTGTTGTATTAATATAAATAGACTTTACAAAATATTAAAAGTATATAACAATGTTTCAATCGCCTTTTACAATGATTATTTCAGGAGCTACGGGTAGTGGGAAAACTCAATGGCTTCTTAAATTTCTTAAAAACTGCCAAGTGCTTGTTGATCCTCCACCAAAACAAATATTATACTGCTTTGGAGAAATTAATGAGACCATCTTTAAACTTAAGCAAATGGGAATTACAACTTATAATGGAGTGCCAGACCCTGAACTAATTAAAAAACATCAACTTCTTGTACTCGACGACCTTATGTTAAATATTGGAAATGATTTTCTTGATCTCCTTTTTACAAAGGGCTCTCATAATTGGAATGTGAGTATTATCTTTGTTACCCAGTCTCTCTATGGCCGTAATATTAAGACTGCAAGAGCCAATGCGCATTATATACTCTTGACAAAAAATCCACAGGGATTGTTGCAAGTAAGAACAATGGGGTCGCAACTATTTCCAAAAAAGTTAGATTATTTCCTAGAGGCTTATCGTGATGCAACTTCGGAAAGATTCTCGTACCTTTTGATAAATATGCATCCAAATGCTGAAGAGCACCTCCGGCTTTCTACGAATATATTCCCAGGTGAAAAACAGTGTATATATTTACCCTTATAATATATTATAATAACAATGACGCTCAATTATAGCCCATATATTCGCGAAAATTATCAATTTCTTCAACAATTAGCTAAGACTAGTTCGGATAAAAAGAAAAATTCGATAATCCTAAAAGCTAGTGCTGATCAAATTTTAGCCATCGTTGAAATTTGTGCCAACGTACTAAAACATAATTTTATACTAAATAGGAGGCAAAGGCAGAAGCTAGCTAAGTTTGCAGATTTTTATCGCAAAATAGCTAGAACAAGAACCGAAAAAAGTGCTCGCAAACGTTTACAAGAGGGAGGCAGCCCAGCACTCGCAGCAATACTCGTACCTATACTAGGTGCCCTAGCAGAACATATCATCCATAAAATCACGGAATGAAGCACACAAAGAAAATGATAATGATACCTGAGATTGAATATCTTACACTACTTAAGATGATAAAAGGTAAATCTGATTTTATGCACACCGAGAAGGCACAAACTGACGCTATGATAAAGGATACTCTTGAAGATCCAAAAATAAATGAAGAAACGCGTGCTAAAAAATATAATTTGTTGTATAATCAAAGATGACAATTAAAACAAAAAATAGAAAATCGTCCTCACAAAGTAATAATTCAAGATAATACTGTACCTGATATAGTTCCATACCTTGAGAGTAGTAAACCAAAAAGACCATTCGATGATTTTAAGAAGGAAGAATTAAATACGCCTGTGAATAAAAGAACATATTCAAGAAGAGTATCACCTTTCAAAGGAATTATTTCAAAAAGGTTCGCTGACGATCTGGAGGAATACATAGGCCAAAACAGAGAAAAATTTTTAATTCACGACCACATCCGATGAGAGTAGCAGTAGCCAATCTGGAAGAGGAAAAAAGAGGAAACGTGTGTTGGTAAGTATAAATTCTCAAAACAAGAAATTTGTACCAAAAATATGGGAAAAACTCTAGAAAAACATTTGGAACAAGTTTATTATTCGCTTAACTCGCCAGCCTCTTATGCGGGAATTCGTCGTGTTTATGAAGAAGCGCGTCTTAAGTATCCCAAGCTAAAAATGAAGGATGTGCATGATTTCATGCATAAACAACGTGTATATACTATGCACTACCCTGCAAGAAGACGTTTCTCACGACTCACTACAAGACCTAGCGGTCTTCATACAGATTGGCAGGGTGACTTAGCAATATTTGATAAACTTGCTGCACAAAATGAAGGATATAAATATTTACTAGTTTGGATTGATGTATTAAGCAGAAAAATTTTAGTTGCTCCTGTTAAATCTAAACATTCTGAGAATATGATAGAGGCATTCGAAAAAATATTTTCTGCGAATAAAGGCATTCTTCCACATAGACTTTATACAGATCGAGGCTTAGAGTTTCAAGCCAAGAAAATGCGAGATTATTTCGCCTCTAAAGACATAGATAAGCGTGTTGTTTTTAGTCCTGATGTTCATGCTTCAATGGCCGAGCGTGCTAATCGTACAATAAAAGAAAGACTTTATCGTTATTTTAGCCAGAAAAATACACTTCGTTGGGTAGACGCTGTTCAAAATATAGTAGATGGAATCAATGCAAGTGTAAATCGTGTAACAGGGGTAACTCCGAATTCTGTAAACTTTAAAAACGCTAGAAAACTTTTCGAGAGGCTATATAAGGAAAATTATAATCATACAGGATCAAAACAAAAACTTAACGCTGGACAAATTGTTAGAATCGCTAAAGAAAAAGGAAAATTTGAAAAAGGATATTTTGCCAATTACACTGACGAGCTTTTCCGTATTGTTACTGTTAACGATAATCGCGTCCCTACTATATATCGCCTCGAAGATTTAAACGGAGAAGAAATTGAAGGAATATTCTATCTTGAGGAATTGGTTCCCACATCTCTAGATACCACGCACAGAATAGCTGAAATATTGAAAACACGTAGAACTCGCGAAGGATTAAAACATTTTGTTCGTTGGATAGGATATAAGGATACACATAACAGTTGGATTAAAGATACCGATATTGTACGATAATGGATTCTTTTTATGTAATTTTGCCATCAAACACTGAAGATGTTGACGGGAATACCACGTCAAAATTCACAGTTCGCATGCCTGATACTCTTGAACTAGATTCAACCTGGACAGTTGCTCTATCGAATATTATTTACCCGTTTTCATTTTCTTTACTTGATGACTCAGAAACTAATGAAACCGAATCAATAACCGTATTTAGAACATATAAGGATGAGGTTCGCTCAACTCGCATAGAGATACCAGATTTATTCTTTTCTTCGGAAGCTGCATTGGAATCAGCATTAAATTCATTTTTATTAGACGTTTGGGAAAAAGAACTTGAAAAAATACGATTAGAAGAGGAAAATGAAGAAGCAAAGAAAAGAATTTATGGAGGGTTTTTTCGACGGAGAAGAGATGCCGATAATACGGAAGTTACAGAATATGGCTATCCCCCAGAATACCAAAAGAAACTTCTTGATTTAAACAAAATTCAATTATCTGATCCTCGATATCAATGGGTCTCCGTACATCACGACCTAACTCACAATCGTTTTTGGTTTTGGTTTCAGGGTAATGTAAAATATATTCAATTAAGTAAACAACTGGCATATACTCTTGGTTTTGAATCTCAAACAATTTACTCTGGCCATGTTGCTAAGTATATGCCCGACATTTCTGGAAAAGTTCGCCAACTATTAGTATATGCACCAAAATTAGTTGAGAATAGTATTATCGGAAACGTAACAGCTCCTCTTCTAAGAGTCGTAAACGTCAGTGGTAAACCAGGAGATAGCGTTTCGGAAGTATATATGACTGAACATCATCATCGTTTACAAGGTAAAAGACATCCTGATATAACTATAGAAATTAGAACTTTGACTGGAAAACTCGTGAAATTCCATTGGGGTAATTGTATTATAACCTTACATTTTCAACGGTCGCTATTTTAAATGACCCACGTAGCTATTGATTTGGATAGCATTGATTGGGATCCTTTTTTGAATGCCCAAGAGGGAGGAGGGCTGGCAATCAAGGACAGTAGTCCTTACTTTCAAGGGACACGATACCAGCGAGGCTTTGGCTTGTTTGGTTCTGTTGGACGTTTTCTATTGCCGATTGTCAAAAATCTAGCAACTACTGCTGGACAAGAAGCTGTAGCTGCGGGAAGAAACGTACTCGAAGATGTTGCACAAGGTAGATCAATTAAGGAAGCACTACAACAACACGGTAGTGAGGGTTTACAAAAGGTAGGTAAAAAGCTGCAGCAATGCGGGAAAGGCAAGCAAACAACCAATAAACGCCGTTATAAAGACCAATTAAGTAGTAGTATATAAGTGTATTAACTAGAATTTTATCGCAACAATGACTACAATAAAGAAAATCGATAAGGATAGTGCAGAAGGAGTTGATAATAGAATTACATTCTTTTCTGTTCCTGCTACAAATGTAGGAATTCAGCGTTCATCATACAAGGAATTACTTCCACTTAATGCTCTCAATCAGTCTGCAGGACCTTTTATTTTTCGTTACTTTGGGGACTCTCTCTATCTTGATCTAAGCAAGACTTATTTCCACTTAAATTTATCACTTGAAAGAAAAATCGACGAAACTGGTGAGTGGGTTCCAATTACCGACGGTTACGGTGATTTCAAAGGGGATCGGTTCATTAGTGTTGCTCAATACCTAGGACTTACATGGATTCGTCGTCTGACTCTTTCTATTAACGGTACTCAATGTTTTGACTCAGGCATCCACTATGCCTATAGATGTATAATTCTTCATGAACTTGGTGCGGATCGTGAAGTAAGTAGAGGTCTGTATGAGGCTTCACTTTATTACAAAGATGTGTTAGATAAAGATGATTTTGAAGGCGCAGGATTTAAATCTCGTCTTTCACGTTTTTCTAAAGGTAAGGTCTGTAGAATGATTTCTCATTTAGATTATGATTTCGCCCGGCAGAATCAGCTCTTAGTTCCACATAGCGACGTTATATGGACCATCTATAGAAATTCTGACGAGTTTCTTATTCACGCGCCCAAGTATAGAATAATACCTCCGAATGCGGCGGGTGCAGAATTTGTAAATAACCCTCATACTTACCGTCTACGACTTCATGATATGAGAATTTATGTGAAGCAGGTTGACTTAAGTATGTCACTAAATAATGCAATTGCTAGACATTTAGAGCAAACTCCCGCAAAATATGCTTATAAAAAGAATGAAATTCGCAGTGTTTTTCTTGGAAAAGGACGCCAGGAAATTACACACGCTGCATTTACCAGTACATGCCCAAGACGCTTGATAATTTGTTTCGTAAATTCTTCTGCATTTACTGGTGTCCCTACTCTTTCTCCATTTACTTTTGAAAATGCTAATGTTCGTTCAGTTTCAGCAGAATTTGGAGGCTTCCAGTTCCCTTCTATTCCTTATGATCTAGACTTTGCAAATAATAATTTTGTGCGCGCCTATGTTGATATGTATTCAGGTATGGATCTCGATGCATGGCCAAACTCTGAGCAAAGAACTCTTAGTATCGGTATGAAAGAATTTTCAAAATCTTCATGCTTCTTTGTTATACCTATGACTTCAACTCTTGAGGATACAAATGGTCTAGAACTCATAAGACAGGGCACAACAACTGTTAGGTGTCTTTTCAATGAGCCTGTAAAAGAGGAGGGATATGAAATGATTATCATGGGTGAGTTTGACTCAATTCTGTCCATAAATGCTGATCGTGTTTTAAGCACTGATGGATCAGTATGAATTCGCTGCAAATTCAAACTATTATGCAAAAATATGAACCGTTAAAACATAAATTTATTGGGGTTTTTTCTTCAAATAATATACCTTCCTCTGTTAAAAAAAATAATTTTTGCTTTATTGCAAATACAATGCGTAAAGGAACTAGAGGAGAACATTGGATTGCCTGTTATTCTGATAAAGCGGACACTATAGAATACTTTGATTCTTTCGCTGAAGAACCTAATTGTGAGATGCGCCGATCCTTACTTTCAAACTATTCAAATGTTAAGCAAAACCGTTTTGTTTTACAATCACCTTTCTCTGACACGTGCGGTCATTATTGTATTTGCTTTTTAGTATTACGTTCAATTTATGGAACATTTTCCAAAGTCCTACAGAAATTACACTCTATACCCCCTGAAGGTCGTGATATCGCTCTAAGAAATTTTGTTCACAAATTAGCACTTGGTATATAAGAGACCGGTAGCATTGTATCTTATATTCTATTCTATGATGGTTATTTCCGAATTAATTCTTCCTTTCCCCCGTAATCCTTATGAAAATAATACAATCTTTATAGATAGCGAAATCATTATGCCTCCTCAACAAAATTTTCTATTAGGTTTTGCTTATATCTTATACATACTATTTATTTTTCTTTTACTATTCTTCTATCAGGCTCGAAATGGTTTCTTTAATCGCACTAATATAAATGAAGCTGTTCGTCTTGCGAGTGTATAAAAGGCGCAGATTTTACTAACAAAATATCAACATGCGAACCTCGTGTATAACCTCAACTTCTGCTTTTACTCAATGGAGGG